GTATTCATACCATATCATTCCCTTTTAACCACCTTTTCATGGCACTGCATCTCAGTGCTAGAGGAGTCACTACAGACCCTGGTTCGATTCCAGGCTGTATCACAATGATTGGGAGTCCCATAGGGCCGTGATTGGGAGTCCCATAGGGCAGCGCACAATTGGCCCAGCATCGTCCGGGTTTGGCCGGGGTAGGCCGTCATTCTAAATAAGAATTTGTTCTTAACTGACTTGCCTAGTTAAATAAAGGTTCAATAAAAATTCAATAAAAATTCATGTGCATCTTTATCAGTTAGCATGTATTACCATTCCTCCTTACATTGTGAATGCAGGATAAACATATACAGCTTGATCCTTACTAATGCAGTGATTGTAAAACATCCATATGACAGATTGTATGCTGTATATTTACCCTTGACCGTATTAGTCTCTTCTTAAATGCCTAACAGGGCAAGAGGTTACCCACTCTGCTCCCTCTGTCAAGCACTCAAGTAATCCTTCACTGAAATATTGATGGCGCTGGTCAATACTGTGTGTTCCAGTGTTGGAGAATGGATTGAAAGGTGTGGAACTATGTACAATATGAGAGTCAAGTCTATCTTTGCTTGTCGCTGCCCAGACGTACTGAGCTGATACAGTTTTATAATGTTCAAATAAAAATTATGCTGTCTTATGTAATTCACAAATAGCGACATAATTAAAGCATTGAAATCCCTTGAAAAAATGAAAAAACACTAATGTTAAGCTATTTTCCCACAAAGAAAACTTCTAATTACAATAAAAGCCAACCAGAACGTCAAGAGCCTAAATAATTATGGATTCCATATCCAATTAACAAACTACACATGCTGTGCTACTGTGTGCATTTTAAAGAACACTTACTGGAGATGCATGCTGCGACAGAATCGACTTAGTACACAACAAATTGGACAGTGTTACATACTGTTGATTTTTCAATGTAACACTTCTAGTGTTGATTCAGGTGTTCAATTAACACTCATTGGTGTAAAATAACCCCAGTGTTAAACCAAAACCACACTCATCTATCATATATCCCAGCATGCTCTATTGCAAATAGATTTTTTGCATTGTTTGTTTCTATATCTCTGTTTTTGCATGTACATTGATTGATTAATGGATCTTATGCAACTCAAATATAAATAACATACATTTTTCTAAACTAATACAATCTGTTACTTAGACTTATTTCACTCGTTACTGAAATGATTGTTCCAGTTTTGATGATTTAGATGATGATGATTATAAATGATGATTTTTTTTTTGCCTCGTACCTTAGTCTTCACGGCAGTCATTCTAAATGCAGGTTGCAGCTAGATGCGTCATAATGGCCGGGAGGTAAAGCTGCGCTGGGAGCCAGATTTAAAATGGAATACATTGAATACATGGAGCAGGGTGGACAAAATCGAATTAAAACACGATTTAAATATATTTTTGGAATGGCTGTGGTCACCATTCATGTAATACATGAAATATATATATCTCATGGTAGTGGGAAGCTATTTTTTTTTTTTTTTTTTTCCCATTTACGTCTTATAGCAATCTCCTTGGCAGCCCTGGTGTGAAGGGGAGGAATGGCAGAGCAGACCGTCATATGACCCTAAATATTTTGATGTTCATCGTAGAATTACAGAGCGCACTGGTGCACACGTGATACATTGTGATACATTGTATAATTTCGCATGACTGTGAGAACCACAAGTTATTTCAAGTTTTGCACTGTAGGCTATGTAGGCTATGTTTTGGTTGGTATGAAAATAAGGTCTATACACTCTTAGAAAAAAAGAAAAAAAAATCTGTATAGAACCTTTTGGTTCTTTGGAGGAGATTAAAGAACCTTTACTAAAAAAGGTTCTATATACACTAAGTGTACAAAACATTATGAACACTTTCCATGACATCGACTGACCAGGTGAATCCAGGTGAAAGCTATTATCCCTTATTGATGTCACTTGTTAAATCCACTTCAATCAGTGAAGGGGAGGAGACAGGTGTAAGATGGAGTTTTAACCTTGAGGCAATTGAGACATGGATTGTGTATGTGTGCCATTCAGAGGGTGAATGGGCAAGACAAATGATTTAAGTGCCTTTGAACGGGGTATGGTAGTAGATGCCAGGCGCACCGGTTTGTGACAAGAACTGCAACGCTACTGGGTTTCCCGTGTGCAACAAGAATGGTCCACCACCCAAAGGACATCCAGCCAACTTGACACAACTGTGAGAAGCAATGGAGTCAACATGGGCCAGCATCCCTGTGCGACGCTTTCGACACCTTGTAGAGTCCATGCCCCGTCAAATTGAGGCTGTTCTCAGGGCAAAAGGGGGTGCAACTCAATATTAGGAAGGGTTCCTAATGTTTTGTACACGCAGTGTATATACATTTTTGTTGTTCACTGTAACTAATGGACACAGTATATTGTATTGTATTGCATTGTATTGTAAAGAAGTCAGCCAGAGTTGACGTGGGCCATCATTCAAACAAAGGGATGCCTCCCTGGCCACCAGTTCATAAATGTGTTTGCATATAATGACAAACTAGGTCCTCAAAATAAGGCTTTATGTATTGTGTTAACACATTTATTTTTAATAAACCTACTCCATTCGCTTAGGATCCCACTTGGTGAAGGCCACATGATTGAAAACGGATGAATGCAACAACTATGTCTCTGTCACTGACAAATACAGTCATGGGTGGTAACTCTACAATTCACTTGAAAAGCTTTACACTAAGCAGTGTGTTAATTTACCCATATAGACACCAGACCAGAATTAAATGTAACACTCTCAGTGTTGATTTAACACTAGAGAATTTGCTGTGTAGGTACTGTATGTAAATTGCACTTGGCAACTCATTAATATGAATGCCATGACTCAAGCATACTTTACTGTTAAGTCGAGTACATAGGCCTCAGTTGAGGCTGCTGAGGGGAGGACGGCTCATAATAATGGCTGGAATGGAGTCAATGGAATGGTATCAAACACATCAAACACATGGGCGTGTCACTGAGACACTGCACTGTCTTTTTCTCTGCCTCTGATATATGGCTCACCTTAGCAGAGCAAAGAGCAGCTCTCCTCTCTCAGTCCCTACTGATCTACCATGTGTGTGGCTTGACATCTCCCCCACCTGGCAGAGCGCCGTAACTGCAAATCCATGTTTTCTCCACCTTCTCCCTCCTCCTCTTCCCCGCTTGACAGTCCCTCTCTTTCATCTCCCTGCAGTTAGAGCATTGATATTCAGAGCGGGTTCCCTGGCAGTGGGAAATAATTATGTTCATGCATTTCTATGTAAACGTTATGAGAATGGAAGGGTGTGCACAAACAATAAACAAAGGATCTCGTAACAGATATCCATTAGCTATTATGGAGCGTTTCTGAATATACACATAGTGGTTTGCCTTGTGAAATGCTATTTGAGTGTGTGTTATAGACAGATGGGGTGTCAGATATCAATGGTTTGAGGTGGTGGTGTAGGCCTCCTGTAGCTCAGTTGGTAGAGCATGGCGCTTGCAATGCCAGGGTTGTGGGTTCAATTCCCACGGGGGGAAAGTATGAAAAATGTATGCACTCACTAACTGTAAGTCGCTCTGGATAAGATTGTCTACTAAAATGTAAATGAAGTGCGGTGTCAAGGGAGCAGAATTGATAGCTTGTCTTTCTGTAGCCTCCACAGAGATCCCTGTTATCTTGGGGAACCTGCTCCAAATTCACATTGTGACTAAACTGTAGTAAAGCATGCATGTTTTCATATCCAAGCGCGCCTTTAGGGAACAGGTCTGGGAATGGACTACGTACAGTGCATTCAGACCCCTTCCCTTTTTCCACATTTTGTTACGTTACAACCTTCCAGAATGACAACCATCTCTGCAGCACTCCACCAATCAGGCCATTATTGTAGAGTGGCTAGACGGAAGCCACTCCTCAGTAAAAGGCACTTGACAGCCCGCTTGGAGTTTGCCAAAAGGCACCTAAAGGACTCTCAGACCATGAGAAACAAGATTCTATGGTCTGATGATACCAAGATTAAACTCTTTGGCATGAATGCCAAGCTTCACATATGGAGAAAACCTGGCACCATCCCCACAGGGAAGTATGGTGGTGGCAGCATCATGCTGTGGGGATGTTTTTCAGAGGCAGGGACTGAGAGACTAGTCAGGATCGAGGGAAAGATGAACGGAGCAAAGTACAGAGAGATCCTTGATGAAAACCTGCTCCAGAGCGCTCAGGACCTCAGACTGGGGCGAAGGTTCACCTTCCAACAGGACAACGACCCTAAGCACACAGCCAAGACGACGCAGGACTGGCTTCAGGACAAGTCTCTGAATGTCCTTGAGTGGCCTAGCCAGAGCCCGGACTTGAACCCGATCAAACATTTCTGGAGAGACCTGAAAATAGCTGTGCAGCGACGCTCCCCATTCAACCTGACAGAGCTTGAGAGGATCTGCAGTGAAGAATGGGAGAAATCTCCCAAATACAGGTGTGCCAAGCTTGTAGCGTCATACCCAAGAAGACTCGAGGCTGTAATCGCTGCCAAAGGTGCTTCAACAAAGTACTGAGTAAAGGGTCTGAAAACGTATGTAAATGTGATATTTCCTGTTTTCTTTTATATACATTTGCAAAAAATTCTTAAAACCTGTTTTTGCTTTGTCATTATGGGGTATTGTGTATAGATTGATGAACACAATGTAATCCATTTTTAGAATATGGCTGTAAAGTAACAAAATGTGGAAAAAGTCAAGGGGCCTGAATACTTTCGGAATTCACTCTATCTTTCCTTGAAAAAAATCTGCCTTATGTAAGTTTATTTTCTGTTTTCAGTTTCCTGATAAAGATGTAAGCATTTAATTTTACAAATATTTTACAGCTATCGGCAGAGAGGTTATTTCTATCCATCGCAATGATGACAGTGTTGTTGTTGTTGTTTTTGTTGTGGTTGTTTTAATCGTTGTTGTTGTTTGAGTTGCTGTTTTCATTGTTGTTGTTGTATGCTAACAGCCTTTCCCCTCCCCTTGTCTTCCAGGAGCCTAGCCATGGAGACCCTGCTCCTGTGCCTGGCCCTCCTCGCTGCACCCGCCGCCACCATGCTGTGCCCCAAGCGCTGCATCTGCCAGAACCTCATGCCCTCCTACACTGTCCTCTGCGCCAAGACAGGCCTGCTCTTTGTCCCGCCGAACATTGACCGGCAGACGGCCGAGCTGCGCCTCATGGACAACTTCATCACCACCCTTCGTCACCGTGACTTCGCCAACATGAGCAGCCTCATCCACCTGATGCTGTCGCGCAACACCATCAGCCAGATCAAGCCGTACGCCTTCGCCGACCTGCAGGACCTGCATGCCCTGCACCTGGACGCCAACCGGCTCACCATGCTGGACGATACCCACTTCCAGGGCCTGGTCAACCTCAGGCACATGATTCTGGCCAACAACCAGCTGCACAGCATCTCTGAGGGGGCCTTCCAGGACTTCCTGGAGACCCTGGAAGACCTGGACCTGTCCTACAACAACCTGGTGAACATCCCCTGGGAGACCATTGGCCTGCTGGCCAGTGTCAACACCCTCAGTCTGGACCACAACCTCATAGAGATGGTCCCCGAGGGCATCTTCTCCAACCTACATAAGCTTGCGCGTCTAGACATGACCTCCAACAAGCTGAAGAAGATCCCTCCAGATCCCCTGTTCCTGAGAATCCCAGTGTACGCTAAGCTGAAGGGGTCTCCACTCACGTCCCTGGTGCTGAGCTTTGGTGGGAACCCGCTGCACTGTAACTGTGAGCTAGTGTGGCTGAGGAGGCTGACCAGAGAAGATGACCTGGAGACCTGCGCCTCTCCCCGAGAGCTTGCCGGCAAGTATTTCTGGACCATCCGTGAGGAGGAGTTTGTGTGCGAGCCGCCCATGATCACGCGGCACACCTCCAAGATGTTTGTGATGGAGGGTCAGGAGGTGAGCCTGCGCTGTAAGTCGGTGGGCGACCCGGAACCTTCCACACATTGGGTCAGCCCTGAGGGGAAGCTGATCGGGAACACGTCCCGCACCATATGCTACGAGAACGGCTCTTTGGACATCCTCACCACCACTGTGAAGGACTCTGGGAAGTTCACCTGCATTGCCTCCAACGCCGCTGGCGAGGCCACAGCGCCTGTGGAGCTGGTGGTTAACCCCTCACCACACTTTGACCCCAAGCTGGAGCCCGAGCCTGGCCCCTCGGACATCCCCACCTCCATCAAGTCCAACGCCAGCGGGGGCCACGCCCGCACTGACCATCAGAGGGTCAGCGTGTCGGAGCTGAGCTCGAGCTCGGCCACCATCCGATGGCCCCCTCAGGACCACATCCCCGGGGTCCGCATGTACCAGATCCAGTACAACAGCTCCTCCGACGACATCCTCATATACAGGTGAGCTGGGCACCGCATGCTTTTACATAAGATCAGATAAGATGAAATGCGTCTCTATGGGGGGTGGTTAATGTTATTGAAACTATCCCTATAAAGCTGACTGGTACCTCTGTGTGGAAGGTGGTCTTCACGTTTGCCATTGCATACTGTGGGTCTCTTGTTGTTCTTTGACAGTTCATGAGCCTCCAAATTGATCCTCATTAACAGCCTGGTTCAGAGAGGCACTGAATCACATTGATAATTAATTGAGTGCCCGATGACAACATGAGTGGAATGTAACTCATCGCTAAAGAAGTCCCAGAGCGAACTGCAGAAACACTAGAGCATGATGCCCACAGGGAAAACGACATAGAAGTTCTGAAATAGTGAGTTGGAATGACTCAATGTGCGTACATCTATTGCCACACCAACCTATATAGCCTTACTGTGCAGTAGCCATTAGCTATAATGGGTCTGGTAGTGACATAGAGTGAGGAAGAGCCTATAAGAAGATAACTTGTTGCCATCAATCATCTCCATAGGACTGAGCGGGAGATCCAGTTACATATTGACCTTTCTGATATCCGATTCAGATGTTATATTAGGTGGGTTGACTCCCAAGTATCACAGGCCAAGCATTCAATTATATAATGGACTGAATGTTGCAATGCCTCACTCGTACTGTAATGCCTCACTCGTACTGTAAGTGTCATGGAAAGGTTTTGAAAAGTGTTGAGTTTGGCATTTGTAATTCAGTATTGTTCCTATCAGAAATACCAATATACTGTGCACTTTTAAGTGATTGTGATTATTTGTAGAGGTATTAACTTCAGTGAGAGAAAATATTAAATATTTTCAATAGCACCCAAAGGAATCCCAGTGCAGAGTGGCACTGATGTAAACACATTACCCCAGTGAAGTGCAATCCGTTCCAGAAGGCAGTGTTTGATAACTGTTTTTGAATGAGGCACAGTCTTCACCCCAACTTTAGGAATGAAAATTATCTGTTCTTATGGGAACAGTGGTTTCTGAGCCTCCTCCATTTCAGAGATTTCAGAGAATGACTGTTGCAGAGAGCATAAAACACCTGAAACATCCCGATTTACACAGAGAAGAAAGGCAGGTCACTCCCACAGTCACGACAGCCCTCTGTTTGTCTCTGCTAAGAATCAAGTGGAACATTAACAGAAAAAAAACAGAATTCTCTCCTCAAAGTGAAAACCACAGATATCGCTGGCCATTAAATTCGGCTGCGAACCCCTTTCTTCTCCTAGGGCAATATTCTCCTCTTGAGCTTTCAAAGATTTCTTTAAACTCGCTATTCAGCGGCTCATTATTTTTTATAAGAGGTGCAGTAGAAAGCATCCCCATGAGTGTTGGAAACATGACTGCAACGCAAGCCTATGTTATTCCAGAGACTTGGAAGTGAAAGTACTGTACAGCATTAGAAGTCTTAAGTTTTTTTTTTTCTTTTTCCTGCCCCACGGCAAAAATAGCCAGCGAGCTCATTTCCATCCACCTCTCAGTTGAAGCTCTTTCCGGCACTCACACAGTGGATTATTCCACAAGCCTATAACGGACGGACGGAGAGATTCGTTAAAAGACGGAAATGAATCTATCGATTCAGGTTTTTTTATTCCACCACAGCCCTCATCAACATTGCGCTGTGGAGTGATTCTCTGTTGATGGAGCCCCGTTACTACCTAATTAACTTCCAGCCTTTCCCTGAGGATGGATTAAGACAAAAAAGACATGTGGGAGAAGCAATTTGCTGTTAATTATGCAAAAAGCACATGGAGGCCTTTGGTTTATGAAGCTGCAATGTAATCGGAATGCGTTTTCTAATCAATTAGGCACACATGAGTCCAGCTCTGTGTGGACTGACGGTTGTATTGAATTTGGGAGGTGGTGATGGAGGGATGGAGGGAGGGGGGAATGAAGGGATGCGGGGGCTGAGGACAGCTAATATACTCAGACACATTAACAATGTGCTGAAAACAGGAGAGGATTGTGACGGTATCAGCTTTCCTCAGTCTCTTTCTTCTCTTTTACATCAAGTCGACTGGACTCTATTTCTCTTACATTCGTTCCATCTATCTGTCCATCTTTTTACTCCAGGTATCACTACCTAATTGCCTTTATGTTTGTATGGTCTCTTCTGAGACAGTCTTATATGAGAAGATGAGAAGAGGACTATCCTATATCATAGCCATTATAGACAGCATGTGGTAGGGAGGTTTCAGCACACACTCACATCCATGATTACACGCACAAGAGTACACACACACACATACACACACACGCAGTCCTCCATGTCCCTAACCCCTCCCGGGCCCCCTGCCTGGAACATTCATATTCCCATCTCTAATGTGATAGACTGGTGACAGGAGCTGTGGGAAGGTCAGGTCTGACTATGTCAGGGTGGGTTCCCGCTCCTCTCTCACCATCCCCACCACCTCCTCCCCATTGCATGCAGAGGACCCAGCCTTCCCCTCCATGTCCATCAAAGCCCCACCAGAGGATGTGGATGAGGACATATCTGAAGATACAGTATATTGGGGCCTATTATTTTTTGACCCGGTTGAGCTCCCTTTTTATACCTAGACTGTATGCTAGGCTCAGGGCTAATGAAATGGCCAGACCCGTCTGTGGGCGGCTAGTGACCTCCACTCATCCACAACATCCACTAATGATGTGCGTATATGCACTGGGGCACATAGAACAGGTCCAACATCAAAACGATTCCCCCTAAGTAGTGAGATTTCACCTTTTTAGTATTTTGATCATCTCTCTTCTATTTTCCTTTCTTTCTTACTTTCTTTCTTTCAAAGAAATGTTCACGGAATTGAAATGTACATTTACCATCATACATTTTCATGCTTTTTTCGTTAACATCAAATAAAATGTTATTCTTCACATGCTTCGTAAACAACAGGCATAGACTAACAGTGAAATGCTTACTTACGGGTCCTTCCCAACAATGCAGAGAGAAAGAAAATAGAGAAAGAAAAGAAAAGTAATAACACGTAATAATAAAAGTAATATCTCATCATAAAATATTTACTTTATAGTAAAGCACCAGACCATAATATGACCCTGACTTTATGGGGGAAAGATATTCTGCATGCTCCATGAATGTATTATAATGTGTAAAGAAGAAGACAGTGGATAAACAGGATGACAGTAGAATAGTAAGTCAGTTTAATAGAAACAGCAGGTGTAACCTGTGGATAAGGCAGGGTAGAGGAGGGTACTCTGAGACAGTATGAATCGTGCCATGCGAGCGTAGATGTTGACCCCACTGGCGCCTGTGTTTAGAGGAGAAATGTTTAATGCACACACTGTCACCCACGTTGTCACCCCTTGGGCACGTCGCGCTTTGAAATTCCGTTCCGTGTCTCGTCACCTCGGAGCCCCCGGGCCCCTATGTCCCTGTTGATAAATGGAACAGTTTGGTACGCTAGCCACCGGGGTAACAGCAGACACACACACAGACACACACACACGCAGGCACGTGCACAGGCACAGACACACACACACGCACCTTAGCCAATGTGTGGTCTAGTGTTTGTAAGACAGAAAGTAAACCTGACAATGGAGAGAGGAGAATGAGAGGAGAGCAGGAAAGAGGGTATGTGTGGCTGTGTGTGGTTAGAGTAGTAAAGGTTAAATGTAACCTCCAGGTACTGAAATATAGGTTGTTGAGTTCACTGCCTTCAAAGCAGCTCTCAGTTTTCGAATTACTGCTAGAATGTTCACTCTGTCAATAACGTTGTTTCTCTCTCTCTCTCTCTCTCTCTCTCTCTCTCTCTCTCTCTCTCTCTCTCTCTCTCTCTCTCTCTCTCTCAGGATGATCCCTGCGTCTCATAAGTTCTTCCTACTCAGTGACCTGGCCTCTCAACGGGACTATGACCTGTGCGTGCTGGCGGTGTACGATGACGGCGTCACGGCCCTGACCGGCACCCGCCTGGTGGGCTGCGTGGCTTTCACCACCGAGCACGAGTACCGCCAGTGCCGCTCCCTCCACGACCAGTTCCTGGGCGGCACCATGATCATCGTGATCGGCGGTATCATCGTGGCCTCCGTGCTCGTCTTCATCTTCATCCTCCTCATGAAGTACAAGCTGCACAGCAACCACTACAAGCAGAAGACGGCACATGTCAGCAACGTGTGCTCTCAGACCAACGGGGGCCAGGCGGCAGGCGGGGGAGGCGCTCCCATCCCCCCCTCGTCCTCGTCCTCAGGCTCGGCCAATAAGCCCATGCCTCCTGGCCCAGTGGACAAGGTAGGGCACGAGGGACCCCATCAGGCCTCGGAAGGGGGCTTCGGAGGGCCTTTGAAAGGGACCACCGTAGTGGACTTGAACCCAGACTACGGGAAGTCAGTGAAGGACGAGGATGATTTATCACAATAACGCAGGATCTTGGACTTCCCCACCCCCGCCCCCTTTTTATTTCCTGATGCTGGGGTCTCTCTGCCTTACCAAGGATTATCTTGTGTTCAAGGTGGGTGATTCCTGTCAGACAAGGGCAAGTGCTCAGGGCTCACCTGTATTCATTAACATTTCTGAAGCTTCTGTGAGAGCTTACAGATATGTGTAGTTTACAGATTGTGTGTGTGTGTGTGTGTGTGTGTGTGTGTGTGTACATGCTGTGTTCCTGTAAGTCTAGGTGCATCTGCATGCAGTGTCTATTTCGAGGGGCTTGTCTTGACAAAGCGCAGTACTTATGCTGTATAATCCTTTCCTCTTTAAATGAAGCGAGGTAAACAGTACAGTGAACTAGTCCTATTGAGCTGCAGCTGTGACTGCAGGCAAGCTTTGCTGGTGCCCCATGCCAGGCCCCCAGGACTGGTGGGAATAGGCAATGATCATAAAATCACACAGCACATAAAGGACGTCACGCAGTGCTCACTCGCTCCACGCCTCCCCCTCTCTCTCCTTCCTTCCCTCCCTCCCTCGCTGCCCGATGGGACTACCCCCCACTCTGTTTCCATGAAACCAATCATAGCTGACTCCGCTGGCCCTGAGGTATTTGTTGTGTGTTTAATATCCGCAGTATAGCACAATCTTCTCTACATCTGCGCTCTCCAAATACAAATGAACTGAGCTGGGCCCGGGGCTTCTCTGGCGCGTTTTAAACACCATCGTCAGTGTCTCTGCCGCCCACCACCAACATCACGTCGTCCTGCGTATTAGCAAACTCAATGCACTAGCGAGGGTTTGAAGTAATCTTTGGGGCTTCCTAAGGCATTTGTGTTATTCTGATTACTTTTTGGAGGGCAGACTAGAGGCTATGTCAGTAGCAGCTGGAAGTTACTTTTAAATAAGGGTCAGAATCATGTTAGAAAAGGCATTTGGCACCCACATGTATAATAGCGACCCCTATGCGTATGATCAGGTAGGCTCTTGTTAACCTAAGCCAGCGGTTCCTAAACTAGGGGTCGCCACCCCATGTGGGGTCACCTGATATGAAAATGGGGTCGCAGGAGAATTTCAAAAATAATTATATATTATAATATCATCTTTGTATCTCAAAATCGGAAATGTGGTTAACCTTAAAAATAGATACCGGGCGCAATTGATATGGTGAAAACAATGTGTGGGGAGGCAGAGGCACAGAATCTCCCATCAATACCTTTGTCAGATAACACTGTTAAACGAAGAGTTTATGCTATTGCTAGCAATCAAGAGGAAACTGACTGAACGACTGAAACTCCCAAGCTTATGCTCTCCAAATGGACCTTAGCTGTGAGGGCTTTTGACTTTTGTTCACTATACATGTCGGGGGATGCTATTCACAGGACATATTGTTCTGTCTCACGATTCCAGAGTATGAAACGGCATAGGGGATGTTCATTGTGCTGTGTGGCTATATTGACGAAAAACAGATTCCATATGGGATCGAATGATGGGCTTTTGCACAGATAGGGCTCCATCTATCCCGGGACGGCAGGCAGGCCTCTGCACTCTAGTTATGAATGTGTCTCCCTCTGCCATATGGATGCATTGTAGGATACACAGAGAGCAACTGGGGGCAAAAGAGCTGAGCACAGAACTCTGAGATATTCTGCAACAGGTAACTTCCATTGTAAACTACATCAAACCACATCCACTGCGCGCCCACCTGTTCCCAAAACTATGTGGAGATCAGAGCATGACAATGTTCTATTTCACGCCGAGGCTTGGTGGTTATCAAGGGGGAGTGTTGGAAAGATTTTTCGCATTGAGAGAGGAACTGTTGTCATTCACAATGGATGTAAAAAAAATGTTTGGAAGAGCACTTTGGGACGGACCTACTTCCCAATCCGTTTGACTGTGATCCTGTCATGTGACCGAATGCTGCAGACAACGCATTCACAGTTCACTACAGAGGAGTTTTGGTTCCTGACGCAAAGGGAATAACCTGCCTCTTGAATGCCGCGTTCAAAACAACTGGGAACTGAGAACTTGGAAATCTCAGACTTCAGTGTATTCAAGACAACTGGGAACTCAGAAAGAAACAAGCTTCAACTGGGAAAAATCATTTTGAATGGTTATCCAACTCGGAATTCCAACTTGGGAACTCAGGCTTCTTTCTAGAGCTCTGACTTTCCGACCTAAAGATCACTGACGTCATGATTTGACCTTGTTTTTTTCCGAGTTCCCAGTTGTTTTGAAAGTGCCATAAAACTCATGGTAGGCTACCCTTCGCCAGCTCATATCTGTGAAAAACTAGATTCAGTGCTCTCGTCTTCATTAAAACCAAATATTGATCCAGGTTGGATGTAACAGCAGAGATGAGGTTCGCACTGTCGACCACGCCCACTGACTTTAAAAATCTCTGACGCGACATGCATCAAGCACACCCATCTCATTAGTGGTGATGAGATAAGAGACATTAGGTCAGACTAATTTGCAATTGACTGCCCCACGTTAATAGTATGTGATGGTGTGTTGACAAGACAATCAGAAATATTGTTTTTCAATTGACTGCCATGGCCCCAAATAAAAAAGTTAACATTGGCTGTTAATTACATACTTTTTTTCACATGGGTGGGGTCGTGAGAATTTTCAGAAATCAAAATGGGGTCGTGGGCCAAAAAAGTTTGGGATCCCCTGACCTAAGCTAAGAAATTATCAACATTATGATCACTGTCTTCATTGACCTCATGTAATAGCTTGCAATTTGAGTCATCAATGGCTGCAACAGTGAAGCAATCCATGCAGCTCTCATTTGGGATCAATTGTTTTTGTTGTTGAGCAGTTTATGAGTCCTGGTTGCATTACATATCCATTTAGTAGGAAGAGCTATTTTTGTCTCAGACGACCGAGTGATTGGACCTTGGTTACATCCGGTATCGATCATAGTCTAACTTCTTCAAGAAGAGAGTTTAGTTGGCTCAATCAATGGCCGTCTGTCCCGGTACCCTGTCTGTTTATAGCTGTGGGCAGCAGCAGGCAGTGTTCTCTCTCTGTGACATGCCTGGATGAGGCAGACGAGGTAGCATTCTTCCTCAGCCTCAGTGCTCATCGTTTAGCTGTGAAATACCTGCAGTGTCTGTGCATCCATAATTCATCTAGGAGCGTCAGACAGCCAGCGAAGAGATGACAGATCACTCCCAGGAGGCCCTGCGTTTCTCACAGCGACACAATGAGGCTGACGGAGTCACCGGCGACATGAGGAAGGGAGAGCGGTGAAGGGGAGAGAGAGAGCGAGAAGGTGGAGAGAGATACAGAGGTAGGGGAAGGGGAAAAAGAGAGAAAGAAAGAGAGAAAGAAAGAGAGAAAGAGACTGGAGAGCAGAGAGAAGTTTAAGAGGAAACAGAGTCAAGGAGGACAAAGACAAAGGTAGAGAGATTGAGGAGAGAAGACGTGGTGTACAGAGGGAGAAAGAAATGGAGGGGTTGAAAGAGGTAGGGATGGAGAAGAGAGTGAAAGGGGATACAGAGACAGTGAGAGAGGGAGAGAGAAAATAAAGCAGCACAGGAGAGAAACAGGTAAGGAGTTACAGATTTAGAGCTTGCTCTAATAAAGGAGTGCAGAGAGAGAGAGAAAGAGAGCGAGAGCGCGAGAGAATCTGACAGTAAATCTCAGCAAGACAAAAATAATGGTGTTCCAAAAAAGGTCCAGTTGCCAGGACCACAAATACAAATTCCATCTAGACACCGTTGCCCTAGAGCCCACAAAAAACTATACATACCTCGGCCTAAACATCAGCGCTACAGGTCACTTCCACAAAGCTGTGAACAATCTGAGAGACAAGGCAAAAAGGGCTTTCTATGCCATCAAAAGGAACATAACATTTGACATACCAATTAGGATCTGGCTAAAAATACTTGAATCAGTTATAGAACCCATTGCCCTTTATGGTTGTGTGACAAGTACTGAGGATACGAAGAGGCAGGACGCAGACGCAGGAATCAACAATGTAAAGGTTTACTTAACACTGAGCAAGTGACCAACAAAGAGCAAGTACACAACAAGACACTAACAATCACACACAACACTGAACAGTCCAGGGCTATATAGGGGTGGTGATGAGATGATGAGGTGCAGGTGTGCTGGAGGTAATTAGAGTGCGTTGGGTTTCCATTCAGTAGATCGGCGAATCAGAGCGCCAGAGGGGAGCAACGGGAGGAGATGTGACAGGTTGTGAGGCCAGGGATCCGCTCACCAACCAAGAATTCACAAAATGGGACAAACACCAAATTGAGACTCTGCATGCAGAATTCTGCAAAAATGTCCTCAGTGTACAACGTAAAAAACACAAAATAATGCATGCAGAGCAGAATTAGGCCAATACCCGCTAATGATTAAAATCCAGAAAAGAGCCGTTAAATTCTACAACCCCCTAAAAGAAAGTGATTCCCAAACCTTCCATAACAAAGCCATCACCTACAGACAGATGAACCTGGAGAAGAGTCCCCTAAGCAAGCTGGTCCTGCGGCTCTGTTCACAAACACTAACAAAGTATGAGGGGCTTTAGCGGGGGAATTAGTGGAGAACAATTGGAGGGTTACTTAGTAACAATGCAAATATCATGGTACAGCTATATGGACACTCAATCACTATGGTATTATTGGTAAATTTACAAACATATATAATGGTAAATAGATTTGAAACTTGTACTTCATTATGGTATATGGTGAAATAAGTATAGCCAGTTATAATTGTAATGGCTTAGCAGATAATAACAAAAGAAGAACAATATTTACATGGCTCAAAGAGAAGGAATATAATATCTATTGTTTACAGGAAACTCATTCAACAATTCTAGATGAAATTGCGTGGAAAAAGGAATGGGGGGCGAAATATACTTCTCCCATGGGCAAAGAAACTCAAAAGGGGTGATGATATTATTTAACAGTAATTTCGATCCGAATGTGCAAATTGTCCAAACAGATACGCAAGATAGATGGATTATTTTTAATATG